GATTTTTTCATCCAAGCAAAACAAACCCTTCGTCTAAAATCTAGCAGAGGGATGGTCTCATCTTTATTTACCTGGTTGTAGATAATCCATGCATTCACGAGGGACATGTCTAAAACACGGATGACTAAAGGCCAATACCATTTTTTACCTCTAAAGCGGATTGGATATTTAGAAATCAGCCAATCATGTTTATCCACTCCTCCCATATTTTTATTATAATTATGAATAAGCAATGGCTGATTCACGGCTACTTTCGCCTTTTCTTTCTTTGAGTACCTATTCGTTTTTACATAAGGTTCAACAGAATCAAAATTTGTCAAAAGACAAACAACATTGTTGTCGTGCCATTTCACGCACAAAATTTCATTATTTTTATCAAAACGATAATCGGAAAAGCCTCGGTCTTTCTTTTTCATCTCTTGTTTGGTCATGATAGGACATTTTTTAGTCCTATTTTCTCTGACTGTCCCTGTAGCTCTGAACCCTTGAGATTTCAAATCAATCAACAATTGCATGCTACTGAAAAAGTTATCGAAGTAGACTACATGTGCTCTGGGAGCTGTACAAACTGCAAGCAACTTCTTTACCACTGTTGCACCCAAGCCATCGTTATGACTTGCAGAGGTTTTAACATCCTTTCCTGTGTAAAGCGAAAAGTTATAACAGTATCCGCTGACTCCACACAGTGCCCAAAGCTTATATCCGAACCTTACTGGTTTACCTTTTATAAATTGTTTGATTCCATGGTGACCGAAGTATTTGACGATCATTTCGTCAACAGCTAAATTGGATTCAAATATACCAAACTTTCGGAATGATTCATTAGCTTTATCGATAAGTGGGCGAATTTTAAAAGCTTTGTCAGTATTATCTATTTGTGAGTTGTCATTGAAATGTAAATAGGATTTAATTTTATCAAAACGATTACGGGACATTGCCTGTTCAACAAATGGAATATGTACATCTTCATCTCTACACCAATAAAGTTTACTTTGCGGCAAGTGATGATACGAAGAGAAAAACAAAATTCCTATGAAGACTTTTAACTCATTTATAGTTAGATTGAAGTTCAAATCATTTTTATAGTGTTTGGCGTAAGATACAGTTTCGTGCACAATATATTCTAGAATCCCGTCACACAACAAGTTTTCGAATATTTCTACCGCTGACTTTCCTTCCAACTGCGTAATCATATTTTCTAAACATTGTTTAGCAGTATTAGATTCCGGCTGTATTTCAGAATATACTGGTTCACACTTACGCCAAGTGACTGTCCTGCTTGTACGAGATGTGGTTTGAGTAGGATGATTTTCCGCGCCGTTATCGATCGTGCACGAAAATTCCACTTGACCAGCTACATCAGACACTGGCAAAACTCCCATATCGTCGTCAGGACCTTCTTCTATGTCAGTCATTTCATCTACCGCATCCGGCGGCAATATGGCAATTTCAATGTCATTCAACTCCTCATCACTAAAATCTTCAATATCTTGAAGATAGTCTACAATTTCGGACACCTTCAAAGCGTTTTTATACTTCTTTTGCACTGGATCCATGATCTATAAATAACAAAAAATAGAATATATTAATATATAGCCAGACGTATACTTATAATCATACAGACAGATATATTGTTTTCAATTAGATACAGAATAAAACTAAAATATTTTTACTTACCAATAATTTCTCAACCTCGTAAATAATTCACTTTTTACTCTAGGTCGATAAATAATCACAATCGTTTCGAGGGACGAGATGTAACGTGTTCGGCGTAGACTAATAGACTAATGTAAATACAAGCAAGATTCGCAAGAAACAAACAATTGACTAGTTTGAACCTGTACTTAGCGTGACAGGATCGAACACGCTTACGCGGCAAATTGTACAGTCAGATTCCCGGTGTCATATTTATAGGACGGCTTATTTTAAATGTATATAACAAGTTCACAAATTATAATTTGGTTTTGTTTTTATTTGTTTTATATTTGATAGAGATCTAAGAATAAGTCTTGTATACTTTGAAGTAGGTAACATTTTTCTTTTACGGTATATAAAATTGGAACTCAATGCTCTCCTTCAGTCAGCAAAATAATCAATTTCAAAAAATGACATTAAAATTACGTAAACTTTTTAACAGCAAAAAAAATTATATTTTATTAGAAAAATAGTTTAAAAATATGAATTTCATCAGAAATAATAAAAATATAAGACCCAATACATGAAAAAAAATTTTGAAAGTAGTGTCCTAAAAATATGACAGTGGGGAGGAATGGGTTAA